AAATGATGAAATTGAAGACGAGGTCAAAGGCCGCATATAAACACACACGCTAACTCAGCACTGGCAACATCATACAAACATTTATCTATGTCATCTAAAAAAAGACCGTGTCCTTTTGCGGGAGCAAAACCCCGCAAAAAAAAAAAAAAGTCAAAATTCAGTTTCGATGAGAAATGTAAGTCTAGTCTAGCTGCCAGCGACAAAGGATCTTACTACAATCAAAAAAACTCAAGTTTTGAATCTGACGCCGTGAGTGCGAGTCGCTCAAAAATAAATTTGCAAGACAAAGAATTAGTTTATGAAGAAAATCTGCCAAAGAGAGTTCTTGTCTGTGAAAACAAATTACAAGAAATGCTCGAGAAATCTGTCTCGTGTCGTTCCTGCCATGAAGATGTAGATATTTTAGAAGAAACAAGTACTGGACTAGGGTCTRCATTGGTGATAAGATGCAAAAATGAGGACTGCCCATCGCATTCTACTGGGTCTAGCTTCCCTGCCACACCAAAGAGTAAGGGATACGAGGTTAATCGGGCGTTTGTACTGGGAATGCGGGCGATTGGYTGTGGTCACACAGCAGCCACAAAGTTGGTRGGATTTTTGGGGCTATCTTCTATAACAAAGAACTCATGGGCTGAGCATACCAAAGTGATAGAGAAGGAAGCAAAATYGCTTTGTGAAGAAGAACTTTGCCGAGCATYGCTTGAGATAAAAGAGTRGAAGCACAGTAAGGGAGTAATTGATTGTTCTCGCGAGCAGTTGAAAGACACCGTGATAGATGTTGGAATCACGATAGACGCCTCGTGGAGCTCAAGGGGATGGTCAGCAACTGATGCTGTTGTAGCTGTGATTTCTGTCGATACYTGCAAAGTATTAGACTTTGTTCACATGTGTTCGTCTTGCACTGATTGTAAGAAGATGAAAACAAAGTTGGAAAASAAGGAGATAACACAACGTCAATACCTGGAATGGTTTGTGGCCCACGAAGATGATTGTTTTATCAACCATGAAGGGAGCTCTTCGGTAAGGTCTTTTCTTGTTTCGTATTAATTTTCATATTATTTCATATATATTTTCATATTATTCGTTTCATTGGAAATCTATGCAATCTTAAAGCTAAGACGATCTTATATGATAGTGATAGTAAAATATCAATAATCTAGCATCGGCAATATTGGTAATTGTGCTCATAACTGTAGTATAAAAAGATAAAATTTATTTAGCAGATTTAGTGATCAGACAAACATACAGTTTTCTCAGAGACTAAGCTTTGTATATGTTTATCGCCTAAAATAATTGTTTTCAACTGTTATAGTCCATGGAAGCGGAGGGTGCTAAACTTCTTTATCAAAGATCGGTCCAATTACGGAAGCTCAGATACATACCGTCGGCGACGGCGACACCAGTGCATACTCATCTGTTTGTGAAGCTCAACCCTACGGGCCTGCAGTCTACATACCGAAACAAGAGTGCGTCTCCCATGTAACAAAACGTATGGGGACTGGCCTAAGGGCACTTCTAAAGGAATACAAAGGTAAGAAAATTAAAATGTAAAGGACTGGCTTTGAATAATTGGTCATTTCCGGTTTATAATTGCTGTTTCAGCCAGTTATTGCACTTCTTACATCAAAAGAACATTACCAGTAGCGTAGCGTAAATGAAATACAACTACGATAAAGGCTAAGAGCAACTTGTGATAATTATAATAAGAATTTTCCTTTAAATTCTAGGCAGAAAGTTATCTGACGGCAAAGGCTTGGGAGGTGTTGGTAGATTAACAAATGCAAGAATAGACACCCTACAAAACGTTTATGGTAAGAGCATCCGAGCCAACAAGGGAAATGCGAAAGAAATGGCCAAAGCTACGAGGGCAGTTCTCAAACACTACAGTAGTACAGTTGAGAAACCGCAGCACGACGATTGCCCAATAGGGTCAAATTCATGGTGTAGTTACGAAGAGGATATATCAAAAAGACCAAAAAGCACCGGCCAGTAAAAAATCCACTTCCTGAAGCTGTTGTTGAAGTAATGCAGCCCCTATTCAACCGTCTAGGCGACGAAAACTTCCTTGCTGGATACGAAGGCTGCTATACGAAAAACAGAAATGAATGCCTTCATCACGTTATCTGGGGCATGGCATCGAAAAACAAGTACACGTCACCCCGAGAAATAAGCCTTGCTATAAATCTGGCTGTTCTACAGTTCAACAGAGGCTTTAGAGAAACGTACCAAGAGCTTCTACCCTC